ACCCCAAAAATCCCCAGGATGCACTGTGGTTTTCAGAAACAGACCTCTTTCAGGTGGCTTCTTTCCAGGAAGTAAGCGGCGGATAAATCTCTCTTGGCATGAGTCCCGTTTATGGATGCTCATAGGTATGTTTTAAAATGTAATTTAGCTTTAGAGGGTTTAAAGAACCAGCGTGTGGGATTTAGTGGCATCTGTAGCTGCAGATTACAACCCCCTCGTCTCACCCTCTCATTCCAAGCGTGTAGGAGAAACTATGGTTGCTGTGGAAAACATAGTTTGTGAGTAGTGAGTAATAAAAAAGGCCCTTTCAAGAGCCGGTGTTTGGTTTGGCCATTCTGAGCTCGTGGAAACATGGCAGTTCAACCTGGTGGACCCACTTCCTCTCTAGATAAAAAACATTCTTATTTTTTTGTCATTATACACTTATGCATATTATATTCCATTTCTGCCAATAGATCCACATACATGTTACACACTGGACCTTTAATGAACAGAATGGGGTAAAGTAATACTACCAAAAAAGTAAACATGTTTGACTAAACCATTTAGATGTCCATTTATGGTAGAAGGCTAAAATTAGCCACCATAAGCTACTGGTCTTACTAGACCAAGCAAGGCTGTATTGGCAAAACACCTGAGTGTATTGAATTGATTAATGGAGCTTTTTTTAATTCAACATTTCCTTTCTAGTTATATAGATTCATATTAACCACCAGAACATCACCCACCTCTTTCTGATCACTGAGTGCAGCAACAACAACGACTAAGTATATTAAAGCATCCAGGAAATGTATTGATTTATTATTCAATTTATTAATATCATTAAAGTGTTTCATGATTATGTATGTAAAACATGTGTAAAATGTTTCAGTTACCAGTTTGACACACTGCTCTTGTGGATTACAAATGTATTTTATTTTACTTTCACAGAGAAAAACAGGCAGATACCTACCTTTTGGTGAAGTTTCATAATTTAAAAACTGTGTTTGGAGAATAAACGATTGTTTGTTGCTGTCTGTGCCCAAAGGAACTAAGAAATGCAAAAATTTTAATAATGAACAATCTTTCCATAGTTTTTATTCTGGGTGAGACCATTAAAGGACTAAGATATTCTCCAAAGTGGTAGCTCAATATCCAGCTCGGTGACTCAGAGCACTAATAAAGAGCAATTTATTTTCTCTTGCTGGTGGATCTTGTTTTTCCTTGAGCACAACAACAGCAGAGTAGCCCTGCGGTCAGAGAAACCATTCTGTAAGCCATAAAGTCCCACATTCGATCCTCATAACCCCCGGCATCCACCCTGCAGAAGTGTCCTTTTAATCACAACTCTAAATCTGTACCAGGTCCACGAGTGGCTGACCCTGCCATCTGACCTCCCTGGTGGTGGTGGGGGGGCGGAGGGGGAGTCAGGCAGTAACACAACAGCTCGGGGATCGATAGAGAATTCGAAAGTTCACAAGTCATACTGATGCTGTTTGTTGATCACATAAGAAGGACGGCAGTCGACGGTAATCCCATTCAACTGTGATCAATGTGGCAGAGTAATGACCTGCACCAACACAATCATTCTTATTCTTCCTGGAGACTCTTGCTGCTATTTTTAAAGAAAGCAATGGAAGCATTAACACAAACGTAACCTTTGTTTGTCCAGATTTGTTGAGCATATACCGACGGTTTAACAAATGCCTCATAGTGAGCCACATCCAGACCAGCTGCTCTATTAGTAAATTATCAGCATGAAGGAATGTATCTGTGTCTGTGTGCATGTTGTAACAGTATTATATAATTCATGTGAGGACACTTTGTGGTGTGTTTCTCAGCATCATTTTGTTCCCCTCCTCCAGCAACAAGACAAGAGTCTACAAACACGGTAGCGGCTCTACTTAGACACAGCTGTGTTTTCAGCTGCACGTGTCAGCATGCTAACATGCTCACAATGACAACGCCAACATGCTGATCCGTGTTTTACTTGTCTGTTTTATTACCTTTGTTTCAGCCCACCTCAAATGTAGAAATAGAAATTGTTGTCATTGTGGTTTCACAAGCAGTAGGGTATTTACTGACTATTAATTGCTTACTTAGCCCTGGTGACTAGCTGTGCACAACACTCCAGAAGTGACACATCCTCAACCCACTCTCTACCTAACTTTAGAGGTAATGGAAGGCACATTTCCCTCTTTTGTCAGAGGTTAACTGCTTCCCTTCACCACCAGCTCCTGTGCAAGCTAACGCTGGGCATACCCCATTTTTAGAAATGTTGTTGTTTAATTGCTTCTCCTGCTGTGTGAGTAAATGGTCTGCGATGTAAAGCCAAAGCTCAATTTATGTGGTCAAAATTGCATGGCACCTTCAGAAGGCACAGTGAGAAAAAAGGTACAAACTTTGGGGAATAGACTCATGGCTCTGCTCCAACTGTGCAAGAGCCTAACATCAGTAGACTAAAATTTGTGACATGTCAGTTTGGGACCAGTTGATTGGTCCTCAAGCCTCCTGCCTGATGAATTTGGAATTTGGTCTTACTCTAAATAAGGTTGTGTGGCTCAAAAATTGGGTCAGAAACAGGCACAGCTTAACATGTTCTAGAACATTTTGTACACTTAACATCTCTCAATCAACCTTGTGTCATGGATTTAAGGTTTTCTTTTATAATTTTTCTCCTTTTGTGACTTTTCACTTTCTGTCTTTGTCTATTTTCCCTGCAGCTTTGATTGTCTGCCCCACCCTCATTATTTTCACCTGTCTCTCGTTATTTTTCCGCTCACCTGTGTGTTGAGTCTTTGTGTTCCCTTGTTTTTGTGTCAGTTCATCCTGGTTACTTTGTTCCTGTGTTGGCCTGTTGGTTTTTTGCTTTTTGCTTTGCCTGGAGCTGCATCTGTTTATCTACCTACCTGCCTACCTGAACCTGCACCTGCCTATAAGCAGAATCATTACATTAAATCACTGAAGTCTGCTGCCTGTCTCACATTTGGTTCCTATCCTGAGTTTCCTAAGCGGTGACACCTTGCATCAAACTCGCAGACGGCAAACAAACAACCACAAAATTGGGAATTAGTATTTATTCAATTTCAAACTGTAACTCCTTAAACTACTTGTTACTAATATGTGACATTCATCCTGTAAGGAACATGAATATCTGTACCAATTAGTTTAAATCTATCTAAACCAGTAGATGTTGAAATATATTAGTGAAATGTGGCACCAAAATTAGTTGGATTCATCACTGGGGAACATGAATGTCTGTATATAATTTCATGGCAATCCACCCAAAATATGCTGACATATTTCAGTCTAGATCAAAGTGTTGGACAGACGGAGCCATGCTGCTAGCGTGGCTAAAAAGCTGCAGCAAAACAGCTTAACTATCACATTTGGTCCAAATATTGTGGATGGTTTACACCATCTCTGTCTGGCAGTAGACGTGTACTGAGCACCATTCGCATTAAAATTCAGATTGATCAGTTCGATCCCATAATTCATTTCTGATCTGGTGGGAGCATTGTCACAAAGCACAAGTGGCCATCCAGTTGTTTGATGAGCATGATAATTATTTCAGCCATATGCCAAGGCTTTCCAAAACACCTGCTCTGAACTCAACATCAGGCAGAGATGGACTCGAGCCGAAGACACTGTTTGCCGCTGACAAACCGTCATTATTGACATTCTCTTTATTCATTATTTGCTCCTTTATCTCCTTTGTTTGCCCTTTTTTTAATCATTCTCATCTTGGCCATTCCTTCAACGCCCCCCCTACTCCCAGTTCCTTTTCTCGCCCCCAACCCCCACCCCTATCCCGTTCACTTGATTATGTTGAGCCAGAGTCGGGGAAAGTGTCACTATGGAAACAGGGGCAGAGGCAGTGGAGGGCTCTATATGGGGGGGGGAGACGGAGACAGAAAGAGAGAGAGAGAGAGAGAGAGAGAGAGAGAGAGAGACACACTGAGAACTGGCCAGTGTTGAGGAATCCACGAGTGGTCATCTGACGCATGTTTGACTTAAAAAAGGCAGGTAACAGTGAATTTTGTTCACCAGTCTGTGGTATAAATGCACAGCTGGGTGGTTTTATCCAAAGCACCTTACTGAGCCTTAAGTGCCTCACTTTTCTCTCTGTGTTCGTCAGTCCACTCTCTTAGCAGTTTCTTTTCATTGAGACGGTGGGAAAGCTATGAGTAACGCGCCAGATGTGATGAGATACAATCACTGAAGGTACATGAGCAACAGCCTTTTGATATTGAGTTTCAGCCCCTTTTGTGCACAATCTCCATATTGCGTGAATTATCTGAAATTTTAAAAAGAATTCATCTGCTTCTCTTTATCTGCAGCTCTTCCTCTGCATTTGGTATCGTTTTAATAAAGGGGAATCAATAAAGTGATAGTGTCTTTTGCCTAAATTTACCTCATCTGTGCACAATAACTGAGTAACATTGGACCATCTTTGAATCCACAATAGAGCGGAAACAATTATTTGATCAATTGATTAGTGTATGAGCAGAAAATTAATTGGGAGTTATTTTTGATTGAAGATACATTAAAGAACATATAATTATACATATGAAAGGTAAACTGAATACCTTTGTTTTTTTTTAATATATTTTTTTTTTTATGACCATTTATAGACCAAACTATTAATCAGTTGATTGGAAAAACAATCAGATAATGAAAATAATGTAATATGGCAGCCTTGGTCCACGGTGCCATATTACATTATGTACTGTCATCACACAAAATTGGATTTTCTGAACAATAGAATACAGAAAACTCACCTCACCAGATGTTTAAACAGTGATAAACCCCCTAAAACTATTGATAAAAGCCTTAATTTCCTTTGTCACCCTTGAGTTTGGTGGTGTAGGAGGAAAAGAGAGTCAGGAGGGAGCAGGTCACAGAGAAAGGGGAGGAGTAAAAAGAGGAGGGGAAAAAGAAGGAGGGGGGGCAGCATGGGAGGGGAGGTATGATAGTGAGAGGGGCTGAGACAGTAGCAGAGCAAGCCAGAGGCAGGGAGGAGGCAGCGAAGGAGCAGCTCTCCTCCTGAGTCTCCATCCCAAAGAAGACAGAGAGGAAGAAGACGGGGTGAAGTCGACAGTCCTGCCTCACCGGTGCATCCCAGCAGCTCCTGAAGTTAAAACCAAGACGTCCGCTGTGAGGTACGTTACGTCTTACTGTCTCCTCTCTGTGCCTCTCCTCCTTTCATCTCCCTCCTCATCTTTATCAGGACTGTGGACCAGCAGCACTCAGGTGCTGGGGGGGGGTGTTAAGTGGTATGTGTGCAAAGACCCTGCCAAGTGTGAGGCTTTTCAGCAGCAGGTTGCTCTGTCTCTCTCTCTCTCTCTGTGTGTGTGTGTGTGTGTGTGTGTGTGTGTGGAATATGTGTGTGAGTATATGACTCAAAATAGGGTCTGATTTATCAAAATGTCAGCAGCGATTCTGCTGAGATGTAGTTTCTCTGACATTTGAAGACTGATAACATTTCCTGCAATCAGACTCATCCTCAGCACAGTGTGACCTGATGTTACAAAGGACACTGAAAAGAACCGATCACCTCAGAAACTTGGCACATGTTTTCTATTCTTTTTTTTCATCATTTTATACACAGTTATTGAGCCTGTGTGCTGAACAGAATGCATCACTGAAACCTTTAAAATGAATTACTTCTTGCATGTGCAGGTCTTACCAAAGGTTGTTGTAACTCCCTCATTTTGTTAGGCGTGAGATTTCACAGCAGATAATTAGTTTTAAAATGGTCGGATTGTTAATTTTTGTTCAAATACACATATTTCTGATCATTTTCTCTACATTTTCATAATTTTCTCCACATCTGTGATCTTGATCTATTGTGATGTAGTGAATGGATTATATCTTTTAAAATGTCTTGTAGCATTCCTTTAAAGTGTTAGGAAGTAATGACTGGATACAGTTTTCAATGCAACTACAGTCATTAAAGTACATTATAAAATGATCCAAAACCCCATTTTATGTACTGAACTGGCTCTGCGGCTAACAGACTTGTTTCTCTTGACCCAAGTCTCCCTGAGTATCTGTCAACCACTCTCTTCATTAGTGCCATTAAAGATGGTCTAATGTTATCAGGCACATCGGCGGTATTGATCTGCTAACCTGTTCCCAGGGGGGCAATAGCCCAGACAAGCTTCTAGTCTTAATTTTAACTGTGCTCTTTACGTACAGCAGACATTTGAGAGCAGAGTGGAGAACTATTGAGTGGACTAGCGCAGGGACTGTCTTTGTGCAGATGTCATGATGTCATACTAACTGGACCCTCTGATTCTTGGCTGCACAGTCGAAAATGTCTTAGCAGTAGAGAGAGAGAGAACTGTCCTGTAAAAACAAAGACCACAGTGGAAGTATGGTGGTAATTTGGTGATTGAGTGTGATAAGTCTTTCTGAAAAGGTCTTTTGGACCAGAGGGTGATGTGTAATTCTTATTGTGTGCTTTTATTTGGAGCATTTCATGTAAAATTCAAGAACTGGGCACAGCCTGTGTTTTTCAGTGGTATCGTGGTAAAGCTGTAGTTGTGCTATGGCTGCATAACATATGATGTCATGTCATTCTGTCTGCTTTTTGTGGATTATACTGAAAAAAAAAAAAGTAAAACAGATTGTTGGCTATTTTTGGGACAGACCAAAATATTCCTGATTTCAGCGAGCAAATCTATAATTTCCATAATTTCCACAGCCTCGTGGTAGCAAAGGAGAGCCTTTTGCAGAGCTTTTTTACTGCTTTGTTTCCAGGTTGCAGTATAATTTAGTGGCTTAGCGTTTATATCTTGTTAGAGAAAGTACCCTATTATAAATTTTCAGTGCAAATCATATTCTGTGTAATCTTAGCTCAAACAGTGTTTACTGACTTGAACATTTCAGGAATGTGTTTTGCATAATACCTGTTGGTAAGCCCATCGAGTGAAAGACTATCCTACTACATGTAACTCTAATATGGAGTCCATGATTTTACGGATTTGACTCATTATCCTGCAAGTTAGTCATCGTGTGATTGAGGATTAACACATAGAGCTATGTAAATTCTAACACTAAGGCTGCTACTTATGATTTTTTTCATTGTCGATTAATCAGCTGATTTATTTTTCTTGACTAATAGATGACTCTTTTTGTCTATAAAATATCAGAAAATGTTCAGTACAAGTTCCCAGAGCCAAGGGTGGCGTCTTCAAGGTCCTTTCTTTCTTCAGATATTCAGTTTACTATCACAGGACACCAAACCTTACAGCAAATATTGGCATTTGAGAGGCTGGAACAACTGAATTTTAGTCAGTTTTTGCTTTGGAAATGATATGTGATTTATTGATCAATAAATTAACGTCTCGTTTCAGCTCTATACTTTACATCAGTGCAAAGCCGCTATAAGCATAATATGCTTGCAGTTGTTGAGGTCAGACTGTATAAGTGCGCTCCTACAGTAGATGCATGTATTCATGTGCCTGTGGGCAGCATCTGTGTATGTGTGGACGTGCGTGTGGATGGCGAAGAAAGTATATGGAGATCAATGCAAGCAGCTGTTCTCTCTACACTTCAAACGCTGCTCTGTTGTTGGCGCATCAACGCTTCGACAGGCCTCGCGCAAGGGGATCAAAGGCTAATGAGACAGCCATCGCACAAACGCACCCGGCAGACCCATGAATATTGATATGGCTCAGGAGAGAGATGGAGGCAGGGTGTCTTCACTTGCTCAACAGCAGCCTGATAAATTAAAGAGAGAGAGGGGGGAGGGGGGGGGGGAGGTGCAAGTGTACGTTGGAAGGACTTTGGGGTTGAAAATGTAGCCAGAATGTGTGGACAAGTGCTAAACAAGCTGATGACAGGTCTCACTGATATTTCATTAAGGTGTTGTTTAAAATGCCACTTCCTCTCTTTCTATACTTCACATTAAAGATGTTGTAGGTACTCACTGCACACTGCAATATGTCCCTCCAATTAATGGTTTTAAACAAATTGAGCTGAAACTATTAGTCAATTGACAGAAAACTAATTGGCCCATTATTTTGCTAAATTTAGTTTCAAATCTTAAGTATTTCTCTATAACCATAAAAATCATCACTTAACTAATCTATCTCTAATTTTACTTATCATTTATTAAAAGTGTATCTTATTTGCTTCATCTGGATGGTGTTGGTGTGGTTTGATCGGATTTGATTGACTGATGACAAACCAACCCACCAACTGTCGTCAGATTATGATTCAAATGCTGCTAAATCCTGATTGGTGCACAGACACAAGTGATATCACCTTTTTCCATCTGAGCCCCGCCCACTTAGAAACCAGTAAAAAGAGCACAGAAAGGGTTAGATAAACATCTGCAGGAAATGTAGTTTTCATACAGCTTCCCATTGCTAACGTTAAGAAACTGATTGAAAAAACTGGTTGGTTCTCTATTATGATCATATATACTCCCTCTGTGTAAATCATCGTACATTGAATGTGATTTTTCATGATTTTAATAGACCAAAAGATTAATCAGTTAATCCAAAAATAATAATTGGTGCATTAATTGTTAGTTGCAGCTTCTAGTAAAATAAGACATATGTTACAGTCCTCTGAAACAAGTGAATCTAAATCTAAGACTAATATTCAAAAGAACCTCTTTTCTGTCTTTACAATTCAATATTTCTATAGAAATAAGAGGACAAATTCCATGTCTTTTAAAAAGCAAACATGTTTTCAGGCATCACTACTGGAGTACTACAAAGTGAGCCCATTCTGTACAATCTGAAAGAAACTGATTCAATATCCCACTCCCTCTCTCCCCTAATGTGTGCGACGACAGATGCCACTGAGTGGACGATCGCCTGAAGGTGACACGTCCCCCTCACAAAATAATGCATTGTGTTTCTTACCTCAGGGAGGTTGTATTGTCTCGCAGCACAGTTAACCTCCTGAATGTCACCAGTTTGTTTCTCCCAGCGGTCGAAAAGCTACATGACATGTTAAAATTAGCTCTTTCTCTCGCATTATCTATCTAAACATCAACAATCCCCCCCCAGCTATAGTTTGTAGAAAAACAACTAAAACAAGCTAAAGGTGACATTTAGGATTTCACCATCCAACAGATCCAACTGAAGCTGAAGAACACAATGAATGCTTTGCTGGGTGGTATGTCATATCAGCCCATTGCTGCTGTCAACAGGCAGGCAAATAGACAGTGGAAGGAGGACGAGTACAGCGACAGGCAGGCAGGCGGGCAGGCGAGCAGGGAGACTGATGTGGCAGGAAGGCCGTCTTCAGCGCGTGGGCGACTGTGCCTCTATCTTGACTTGGGCTCGTAAATCAAGCCTCCCCTCCGGGGCCTATCTTCCATTCTCAGACCTTCACAACAGCTTGTTCTCCAGCCTGTGACGAGAGGGGCTGTTGTCATAGGAGCTATCGATCGTGTGGGATGAGTTTGTCAGACCGGGGGATTTCACCCATCTGAGCGTGGTCACTGAAGTGTCCCATCTTGTCTCGCTGTCTGTCTGTGGGCTACATGTTCTGTCTAATGCCAAGTCACTACTAGCTACTGTCAGCGGCATCTCACATAGTTTCTTTCCAAAATAAAATCTAAGGGAAACTTAAAAATATTCCAGACTGTCTGGGTGATAAAATTATATCATTTTATAGACTTTATCCTTTAAGTTTAATGACTTGTGTCTGAACTGCGATAGACTGCAGACGCCTCCAGGGTTTTCCCTTGCCTGTCATCCAGTGCATGCTGGGATTGATTCCAGACCTAAATGGCACTAAACAGAAATAAGTTGGTATAGAAAATTTTAAAGGAACATTTAGGGAAAATAGAAGATGAGAAAACTGACACCACCCTCAAGAGTTCCTTAGCTTAGCTTAGCATAAAGGCTGGAAAAAGGGGGAAACCAGCAAGTGGCAACCTAACACAGAAGTAACAAAACCTGCAGTCGAGATGGCGAAGGCTAGAGCCGATCATACATCATAACGACTTTTTAGAAACCTATGGGTGATGTCCCATATGCACTTTTAATTCCATCTATTCCTATCTATCCATTGTATGATTAACATTATGACTATTCCCTGACCTGGAGCATTTGCCAAGCTACCAACAGAGACTCCAGGAATTAGTTTGCTCATACTTTGGTTATTGTAGAGATAAAACAAACAATATAATAATAATTCATAATAATTAGTGAGCTGTAGAGGTGCTGGGAGACGGATCCAGGTGAGCTGTTTTCCCTCAGTTTAAGCATATTTACAAAATGTCCAACTGATCTTTACTCATCATAAAAAACTCACATGTGCATTGAAAACATTTCATTGATTTAAGCACATTGCAGTTTTGTAAATCTACATATTTGACACCTGTAAGTGTTAATAATGCAAAAAAAGTGAACACAGTAAGAAAATGACACACCTACATTGTGTTTGTGGTAACAGGCTCATTAATTCACTTAAAACTATTCACTTCGAAGACTACTTGTAGTTTAATCTCTCTGGGACTGTTGTTTACTATGCTACACTACAGAGCATATGCAAATGAATTTCAGATGTTCAGATACCAGTGAATATGTTTACACAGTGAGTTTAAACATTAGTGTGACTCAAAGTAAGCCCAATGCAGAGAGGTGAAACGTTGAATAATTCTCATTATTTGCAGATTCTTTGATCCACACAGATGAATATGAACTTAGAAAACCTTAAGATGAGGTAATTCAGATGGTTTATTGTTTTAAATCAACATTATGGGAGCTACTGTATGTTTGTAGTTTTTTTTAACTTATTTTCTTGGTGTTGCTCCTGTTGCTTGTGGGTTCATACATGACTAGATTTGCAATACGTTTTAATGAGCTCCTGGATGAAAAAAATTAAATTTAAATCAAATCAAATGCAAATTTAATTTCTGGATCACGGCTCTAAAAAAAAAAAAAAATTTAACCCTGCCCAGTAATGGATTTCCAATAGTATTCTCACCAAAGTCAAACTACTTTAAAACCAAGTAGTTAAATTATTCACTAGCCCTCACTCCACCCTTTTAAAAGCCAATTAGGTGAACGTTTCATGGAAATCAGGGACAGTATTTGATCTCCTGATGTCATTTTGAATTCAAGAGGGAATAAATTACACACATTTGACAGTTCCAAAATTAAAGACCCATCTGACTCTCCTGTCAGGTGAATACTTAACAAGCTAAAATCCACAATTATGTGATGTTATTTTTTCTTGCATGTGCACACATTTCCTCTTTCATTTTCTTAGTTACGGTTCCAGACACGTATTTCAAATGCTGGTATCTGATTTATGACGCGGAGAGATTGCTTTAAAATTGTGTTTTATTAAAAAAAAGTACAAGGTTCATAGCAACATAAACTCCTTTCATCACAGACAGGTTGTTGAAAATAAGAATTTTTTGAGACAGAAATTAATTTCACCAGTCTCAGAAGTGGTATGTAAATGAAAATGTATTGAAAATGATAATAGCAGTAATATTGCGCCACCATGTCACCAGTGCCTCCACATTCTTTGTCTTGAGGCAGTTTCCGAGCATTTCTTCATCTTGTTTCCTCACCCTGAAAGCCTAGTTTGTGAAACTCCACCAGCGCTGCACACAAGAGCACTCCCACTCAACCTCCCAGCCTGCTGAGAGCACTTGAAAGCAATTTTCTTTTAATCAAGTTCACTATAAAGGCCCCTCTGATGCCAACCTCAGCAACACTACCATTTTGTTTTTTCAGCTCCATCTCTCTCTACATTATATTGATTTCTTCATGAGCGGTATGAAATACTGTTTACTGACATAATGAGAATTCTCTTTGAGTTTATTGCTCTTTCAGGACAGATACAAATATAGGTGCACTCTTAAGTAGAGGCCTCATTTTTTTCAAATTTCTACTTCAGATCAACACACTTTTTTTATATAACAATAGTGTTACTGCACTGCAGGTCCATGACCCTAATATGGACACGGTTTTCTACATTCCCTAAAGAGAGAAGTATTCAGATCTTTACTTAGGTAAAAGAACCATTGCATTTATAAATTATCCAGTAAATTGCTCCATTCGAAGTCTCACTAAAAGTACAGAATTATTCAGTATTAGGACTGAACTATTATTTTCATCATTGATTAATCTGCTGAATCATTTAGTCTATCAAATTTTAAAAAGTAGTGAAAAGCACCCATGGAAACTTTCCACAACCAACCAAAGATATTTTATTATGTGACAAAGAAATGCATCAAACCCTCAAAACAAGCAAATGTTGAAAAACTACTAAAATTATTAATCGATTATCAAAATAGGGTGTTTTTTTTATCTATTGATTGTTGCAGCTCCACTCATTATATTAGCTGATTGAGTTGAAGGTTAGTCACTTTATGTCCAGTTAGTAGTTTAGCCCAGTGGCTCCCAAACTAATAACAAACATTTAACTTTTTTTCCAACTTATAATACTATTCATATAAAAGCATCTGATGGGAAGTCACTGATGTAACTAACAACTTATAGACGTCTGAAATACGTCTATAAGCAAGACACTACTTTTTTTATGAGTCACAAGCCTAAAAGGTTGGCAATGTATTTTAATCTATTATCATTATCATGTGCATTTAATGGAAATTCTAATCTGGAAAGTAATTAGTACTTGAAAATACGAAACTGTATTTCAGATAAATCTCACAGAGGAAGCGGGTCCTCTTCGACGAAGGTCGCCATGTTGAACCGACATGTTTCTACAGTGGCACAGAACAAAAAAACCATCACTGGCTTACCGTTTTTCACAGTAGTTTCTCCTATGGTTGGAACAAGAGGGTGAGGTGAGTTGGTTGCAATCTGCAACAATCACTACTAAATGGCACTAAAACCAACACACACAAACTCACTTTTTAAATCTTGTCCTTTTCAAGACAGGTGGGATTTATAGATCTTTTTGGAGGGGATGGGGTTCTCTAATGTAGGTTCGGTATGAGCTCACCTCACACACTGCCATCCATCCCTAATGTCTTCAGACAGATACGTTTGTGCTGTATCATATTAGTGAAGGACATATTTTATAACCACTTAATAGTCACTGACCTTGACATTGAGGTGTATTTCAATGTTGCCTTGCTGCATTGATAATTCAGGGAGTGTTTAAACAGCGTGACTGCAGACATGTACTGTTGCTAATAGTGCTGCAGTTAGGCTTTAAGATACAAAATACAAATAAGTGACAATGTTGCAAAAATATTAAAGTTTAATCAACAATATAGGTCAATAAATATAATAATTATTAATGTTCAACCCCAAAAGAAATACTCCATGATAGAACATTCTGGGCAAAAAATTTGGTTTTGACTAGCCTTGTCGTAAAATATCAGCTGGACATATGTGTCACAAAATGTTTTGTTTTATGACTTATACCTGCGGTAACTGACCTTTTTGGGTCAGTTGGTATGGCAAACGCGTTAGCAAACAGTTGCCTATTTACACAGCCAGCAGACCTTATCATTCATTTAGAGTCGTGTTTATTGCCCCACTGCGACTGCAAGTCCAATATTCTCTCTCCTTTTTTGGCTTTAGCTCTGTTTTTGGTCTCCACCAACGTAATATGTGAATAAATATCTGACTCTAGCTGGGTTTTACAGCTGGTTCACCAAAACAAACTAACAAGAAAAAACAGTATGAGGAAAACCAAAACAATGAGCACCCACGTTACACATAGTCATTTGATCCCTTTATTATAATAAAACATTGATTACAGCCACTTACTTCTCTTTAATATTTGCACATTATTGTTTTTTATTGTGTCTTTTTTGTGTTTGTTTGAATGTGTCTGTGTTGTAGCTTGTTATAGACCCTGTACATTGTAGATCATGGTATGTGTGTTTTGTTTGGATGGTTCAAAGCAGATATAATTCCCTAATAAGCTCGGTAGGTACATTCTAGATATTGTATGTTGCCAGCTGAAATTGAACAGAAGCCTAGCTCATAGTCTACCCAAACATTTCACTGCATTAGGCACAAATGTTTGTTCAAATGCTGAAGATTGTTTCCTACACAGATGATTGAACTGAAACTACCGTCTCGCAAAGATTTCTACCTCCAGGCTAAAAACAAAATGGCATCATTTAGTTTGGCTGGAATGAGATGAATATTCCCTACAACACACTGAATTTCTCACTGTTTTTCTTTGTACATCTTGTCTGCAGGTCAAGAGGACATGATGTACCACGAAGACTGAGACTGAACCTGAAGACCTGTCAGAAGACTGATCACAGAGGTGAGCCTCACTATACTGTCTCCTGTCAAAGATTAATAACACAGATCCTTGAAATGATGGATGGTAGCCCAAAGTGTAGATCAGTCATTATGAAGTGTGAGCAGTACTAGTGATGCGTTAGGAATGACAAGACAGGAGTGTTCTGGTCATGGTTTCAAGGGTTCAATTCAGTTCCCACTTATATATGATATACTGCAGAATAAAATGTTGTGGATCTCCGTCCTAGCTGATTTAGTGACAGCCAATGTGGTTTAACACTACCGCAGACACTTGTTGAGCAGCTACTTTGTCAGAAATACAACAGAAGAGCAGCTGGGGTATCTGGTTACAGCGCAGCCAAACAAACTCATGTTGTCTTGATAAAGAGGTCAGTCGATAAAAGCTGCAACCACAATCTGATTTCACGCTGCACACGGCGGGTGTAGCTTTCAGCACAACAGCAGGACACAGTAAACTTGGTTACCTTGCTGAGGAGTAGGAAGTGTGCAGCCTGTCACAGTTCACTGTGGCTGCTCCTTCTTGTTTCATTACTCCCTGAAATAGATAAAACTGACCTGCTGGCCAAAAATGACTGAAAAATAAATGTTTTTCACCAGTTGAACACTAAAATGGGAAATGGCAACAGCAATAAATAATACATGTTCAGTTTACACTAGAAGTTACATAATATATATCTGATACACAAATAGGAGAGTGAACAGTAAACAATGAGGCTTTGGCAAAAAAAAAATCAAACATCAATAATATCAAACAGAGTTTGATGTCATGAAATGTATAACTTTAATATGAATAATCAATTTACTATTCATTCACTTTCTGTATATTTAGAAATACAATACTACACTGTATGGGTTCTTGGGCAAACGTACAACAACCAAGTAAAAAAGGCCAGAAACTCAGAGACTGACGATCAATACTCCACAACTGTAATCCTCGCCCATGACTTAGCTGGACTCTTCTTTCTATGAATTTTAAAGTGGTACACATGTAGCCATCAGAGAAAGCTGCACATTTCACTTCCTTCTTTCACTCCCCTGCTGCTGCATTGATCCCCAAGAGGAAAACCTGTAGTGCTTGTACAGGATTGAAGCCATGTTGTCAGATTTCTACACTGAGAGCTCCAGCAAAGTAGAAGCAAAGTGACTTCTGCCTGCAGAGACTCACAGACTGCATCAAAAGGCTATTTCCTACAGTACAGAGCCTTTACAAACAAAGGAAAAATGTGTAAATTGCATTAGAAAGCATAAAACAAAAAGAACATGAATACAGGATCAACTAAACAACATGTCTGTATAAACTGCAGTAAAAAACTGACTTTAAATCATATGTACAAATGAAGTAAAAGTAAATTAAAACAACTACCTCACATAAATAGTACTGATAAATGAAAAGATTATATAGAAAATGGTTAAATCTGCTGATGCCATAGCCAAGCAATATATAATCGACTAATCAGGAGGTAATAGAACTATTGTAACATAGATCAAGTATGGAAATTACATCCTACCCAGCTGCCTAATGGATTTTAATGAAACTCAAAAAAGAACTACTTTAAACTGGTGGCAAAAATGGTACTTTAACCCATAAAAATGAGAAATGAATAAAGCCCTGAAATATCTTTATATTAGATATTAAAGTGCATACTCTGTGCAGCAGAACTTTGTGAATGTGTGAGTCTAAGTGAAAACAGAATAAAAGCTTAGACGTTAATAGGTACATTTCGTTGACGTTTCCTATTTTCAGCTCCCATCTTCTATTTCAATTCTCTATTTTGTGTGGCTCGGTTCATTTTCTTTTAGGGGTAAAAATGCAGCGCTGCAAAAACGCAAGGTGATTACTTTCACTATCTGTTCACATCTACCTGTTGTAATGATGATATCCTGAGCTCAAGTTGTGCAACAATAATGCAGAGTTGTGCAGAGCTCACCTTCCAATCTGTGCTAATGAGACGACTTCTGTGTCCGCATGTTGCCGTTTCATTTCCCGAAACCTGCATATACCGGCTGTGTGAAGCCTTTTTAATGTAATCACAGTGTGCATTCGGGCAGCATGTATCTGCAGCTATAGAGGCACAGTATAGAGGTCTAGTGAGTGTCCAGCAGTGCACTGGGCCATCCGCCCTGAGGTAGTTATACAGGGAAAGGATGATGTGACTGGAATAGAATATTTGCATTACAGAACATGAGCTTAAATCCTGTGTTTTGTCACAGTTTTAATGATGGTACCCTCACTAAGCTCAGGTTGCCTCGTATCGGCGCTGACCCTCGTGGGCTGAGTTCTGGTGACACCTTCCAATCTGTGTTAATGAGATGACTCTACTCTGTCTACGGGTCACGGTGATATTTACAGAAACCGTTGTAGCAGCAGAGATCCACGCCTCCCCGTAGCGCTCCCTCTCCTCATTTGCATAGCTTTCAGACTTCCCTTTCTCGCTCTCCCTCTTTCACCGCTCTCGCTGTGCTCCTCCATGATCGACAGGCTCCTTCGCACTTCTCTTCAGTTTGTGTCGCACATGTTAATTAAAGCCTCTAATTAGCTTTCCCCACTAAAAGGCCGCATTAAATCAGAGTTGGAATGGCAAATGATTCCTGGCATTAGCATAATTGTGTTTTTGAAGTGTAAAGATTCAGGCATTAGGGATGCTAGCACGCGTTTTTGTTTCAGTGATTTGTTGTGTTTGGGGCTTGGGGCCCAAGGGGCCACTGGAGGTTGGCTGTGTGGGTTGAGATGCCCCAGGACCCTACAGGGGCCACACACTAATGAGGCCTGCTCCTCTCTGATGGAGCAGATACAGGAAAAACAAACCTGTGATGTGGTACCCTCAGGTGGTCCTGAGAGCCCGGCAGAGCGGAACGGGACACTGGTGGAATGTGTGTGTGTGTGTGTGTGTGTGTGTGTGTGTGTGTGTGTGTGTGTGTGTGTGTTTGTGTGTGTGTGTGGAGACAAAATGGAAATAAAGTTATTTCTTATTATTATTATCTTATCACTTTATTGTTACAAGTGATTGGCATGTACCTCGCCTTTGCCCAATGCATGCTGGAATTGGCTAAAAATACCACTGACCCTGAACTGGGAAATATGGAAAATACTAAATGTAATGATCAATGTGTATATTTTCACATAGGGCTATGGTATTTATTTGCCTTTAAACTTGAATATATAGGTGGTTTAGACAAAATAACAAACATAAAGTATTTCCTGGTTTACTGTGTAATGTTCATCAGAAGTGTAACTGGCTGCAGTTCTACAAATTTGGACCTTCTGACTAGGGTGGCGCTCTTGTAGCCTACAAAGTAATGGTATAGAGCTTTAAATGTCCAGTGTTTAGGATTTAATGGTATCTAGCAGTATAATTGTAACTATTTTGCTTCACCCTCCCCTTCCAAGTGCGAAGGAAAAACTATAGTGGCTGCGAAACATGCAGAAAATGTTAACACACCTATCTAGAGCCAGTGTTTGGTCTGTCCGGCAGTTCAATAGGCAGACTCCATGAAGGGGCGACTTGTGGTGTCTGTAGATATATAAATGTTTCATTCTAAGGTAACAAATTCCTATATTGAGGTGGTTATACCGTAATGAAAACAATATTATATTAAGTTTCTACCAATAGAGCATCCTAAATGTTACACACTGAATCTTTTTTAAAGCCAACATGGGTGTAATTTTTATGTGATTGTTGCATTTTTTAAAATTATTCTTAAGGGATAAGACTTTGTTTTCCAGGTGAAAATTGGTTTGGATTCATGGGGGACACAGCTGTTTACTCACCACCAAAGTCCATTTTCAAATTCCACCCACTCTAAATTGCGATTAACAAATTAAAAACAAACGCTTCTACAGTAGAAGAGGCCAAATTATCTGCTCTAAACCTGTTAAAGCATCTCTGTCACGTCAGACAGAAAATGTTTGACTATCTGTGCCAAACTGAGGAAGTGTCGCTTTCTTACCCCTCTTACTCTATTTGGAAATGGAGATAATGGCTGTCTGTTTCTCACATAGGTGAACATGCACAGGGGTGGTTCAGAGATGTTTGTGGGATGTTTCTCTCATTCTTATGGATACTGAGGTGAATCAACCAATCCAACCAACCAAGCCCGCTTGACTCTCGGGTCAGCATAATGCATTGTTGAAATTTTGCGAGGTGCGACAGTTGGCTAAACCATAATTCCAGCCTAAATAACCTTAAAAGTGTCCATCAGCTGTATTGAGACATCCAGGTAGAGTGATTATTTCAGAATCGACTACCTTGTTAGTGTTGGTGAGCACACAGAAGCTCTCATGCCCCGGGTCATGTCCTCTATTACAGTGTGATATACCTGGATTTACTAGTGATTAGTGCTGTGCACATCCTCAGCTATCAGACATGACTGAAGCTGTCACCATGCCATGAATCATGCCTCGGGGTAGACATGATGTACTTTTCAAGAGCTTCCTCTGGGCAAACTCGCTCACTGACTACTGTGGCTAAATTATTCAGGGTGAACTTGTCTTCCCAAAGGCACAGTGGTGGGACAGTGACAGTTTGGGGGTTGTGTGATAGCTGAGAGTGTTGTCATATGAGTTATTATTGAACCAGCCAGATATACCACAATGCAGCACATTCCCGCTCCGGCCTTGAATCTGCTCAAGGCATGAAAACCCATTAAGATGCACTGGAGGAAGCAGCGGAGTTGAAGAAATGATGTAAGGAGGAAGTGGCTGCAGACAGAATTATCACCACTTCTGCATGAGGCTACTTTTAATTTGATTAATTCTAATTAAATGATTTTTTTTTGCGTCAGCAGTCAAATAATTTCCTTTTCTTCAAAAGACTACAGTTGATTACATAAGGACACACTGTTCCTGAGGTGACAGATGAAATTATGTGGAATGATTTTCTTTTTTTTTAATGGCACAAATGCGTCCGATGCAGTAATGTGTTTTTTTTGTTTTTTTTTACGTGTGAAAGAGGAAGAGACAGAAAATGAGAAGAAAACGAAATAGAAATAAGAGAAAGCAAG